ATAACTAATTCAACTCCCCCCCCCCCCCCCCCCCCCCGAGCTACACTATCTAACATTCATGAAATATTTTTACGAACTATGCATTGAAAACAAATCTTGTAATGATTCCTCACATGAGTTTCGAAATTCTTTCGTTTCAGTTTATATGAAACACAGTATAAATCAATCCTATGTAGTAGTTTGCATTTTGCCACGAGAAGCAATACAATAATAATTAATCTATAGTGTATTGTATATAAATAAAAATGTAAAGGTAAGATACTCACGATTCTAAGATTCAGTTAATTAATTTTTTATTTCGACGATGTTTATGGATAAATCTATGCGCTGATCAAACCATTAATTAATTTTTTTTTAGAATGATTCTATTCTTCTTTTGTTGGTGAAAACTTCACGATAAGAGAAAAAAAACTCTTCGTTACTATTCTCGATCATTTTCTTTCGTTCTTTTCTTCCGTGGAAAAAATTCACAACAGTTGATAGTTTGACGACAACAGTCACTTGTAGGATGACGTTAAGCGTTTTTCTCCTTCTTTATAGATAACAACTATTCAATCAGGCTGCATTACACAAGCTGTACGAACTAGAATTTTTCTAAAAATGGACTTATTACCAACTGATCCGGATGCACCTATTTATACAGTCGACAATCTCATTCACAAAAAATTTTTGGATAACTCAAATTTTTGCCTATGTTTACAAGAATATCTTAAAAACTCACTCTCCATAGAAATTGCAATAATTCCACAAGAACCACCAAGAGATTGGCCGAAGAAAAAGAAACAATCATTGAACTATCTGATACAGTTACTGGGCACATATGAAAATAGAGAAGAAATGGAACGGATCGTCTCGGATTTTTTCAAAGATCTATTCACAAAAATACAATGCCAAACATTCAGTGACGACAAAGGTTTGTGAATTTACAGTACATTTGCTAGAAAATAGAACGTCCAGTTGTTCGACTGTAGGACTATTTTGACATGGTTACGATTTATTTTTAGTTAAAAAGTGGCTACAGCATTCGTTTACAAGAGCAAATAATATTAAATGTATCGAAGAAATTATCAACGAAACATCTTTGAATTTGTTCGTTGTATGCGAAGAAGATGCTCAGCATTCATTAAGAATTCATTATGTAGCCAAAGATCTAATGAATGTTCCGGACAGTGAAGAACTCAATAAAATAATTGAACTCAAAATTTCACAAGAAGTAGTAGAGGTACTTTGTTCGCAAGAACAATCAAAAACAATCATGAAAGAATTAAGAACAATGATAGCAAAAGCAGAAAAAAAAGGCAATGTCTCAGTTTTTATCGACAGTATCTATTCGGGATCGAGACGAAAATCATATAATATAATTTTATTTGGCTACCACAAACTTGTAAATCGGTTAAAGAATGAATTTCTAAATATGATCGATAGACGTAGTGTCGTAATTTTCAAACTAAACTTACTCGATGAATTTCAAGTAATAATTTATTTTTCTTTTCAATATCACTAAAGACTATCTTTTGTGTTATTATTTAGATTGAATTTCTTCTCAGAGAATGTGCTGAAAAATTAAAACAAATTGTAAAGACATATAAAGAATTTGGTGTTCATTTTCGATTAAGACGGCGAGAATTTGTTGCGCCTCAACATCTGAAAGATGAAATTGAATCTTGTATTACACAGCTGTTATCGAGCTCGACATCAAAAACATTCAAGAGTATACCATTATCCAAAGACATAGCAGATATTGCAGAAAAACAATTGAAAAATATTGCACGAAAATGTCACTGTCATATTATAACTGAATCAAAATACAAATTTCGCTCTTATACAATACCAAAGGGGTTGTCGTCCAATGGACACGTATTAAAATCAACAATGGAGCAATCGGAACATTTTCTTTCTTCGCCAGATGTATTCAACAGACTTGCTGTGGCGGATGGATCAATTGAGATTCGTACAGGAGACATAGCTCGACAGGACGTAAGTTTTGAAATATAACTAAAACTTCTACTCTTCAGCCTCGTCAAGGTTGATACAATTGTCATTCCGGTTACATTCAATGGATTGAGGGAGGGTGTCATTGAACGAGCAGATGCCTTCAACTATGAAAAGAATTATACAGATGAAACGGATATAAAATTTACTGAAACAAATGGGGGTAAATTGAATTGCAAACGGATTTTATTTTCCAATTGGACGCCATCTAAAACTATGAATGATGATGATTTGAGAAAATCGATAAAAATATTTATTTCAAAATCAATTGAACACGCAACAAAAGAGAAAACTCAAACATCAGTAGCCTTCGCTGTTCCCGATTCATGTTCGAATGAAATTATATTAGCACGAGAGATGATTGATACAGCCAAAAAGCAGCTAGAATCTAAAAATTTGCAACTAAAAATTTCCTTTATCTTGCTACCAGAACAGCGAACTTTGCATAGCCAATGCTTTGCTGTCATTGGAACGATGCAAGATATTTATGCGCAATTTGACTGGACAAATAGAGGTGCGTTACTTATGAATGAGAGTATGAATTGACTTTTCAATTTCTCTACTCTAGTTATCAAGACTACAGTTATTGCATCTCACGTTGGTAACTTAACCAAATGTCAGGAAAAAATAAATAGCTATTTGAATCAATGTACGACCTCAAAGAAGCTGACAAATTCAAATAGTATCTTTCAGCATTGGGATCAATATACGATCAATGCTTTTTATAAATATTGTCAAGACCAATGCGTTTTGCTACAAATCGATCAAAAAAAGCAAGAACTCGAACTGATTGGTCCCGTAAACAATGTCATCGAAGCTAGTCAAAGATGGAGTCTCCTCTCTGATCTAATGGCAGAAAAATTTTCACGAATATCATCAATAGAATGTTCAAGTTCAGTAGCTATGCGTACACCACGAGCTCGTAGTGAAGCCGTGATTGAGGCAGCTAAAGTTTACAATATCATGATTAGTTATTGTCAGGAAGATATAAAACAGTGTCAGTATCTGATTAATAGATTGACGGAAGAGGGTTTCTTCGTTTGGGCCGAGCCATTAATCGTCGAGCAACCACGTGATGTTTCGTCTCAGATCAGCAAAGCAGATTGTATCATTCTTTGTGTTAGTGAAAATTACTGCGATAGTTCCTCGTGTGAAAAAGAAGCTCGGTATGCTTTTCAAACGAGCAAGCAAGTTTTCCCGGTGAAAATTCAAAATCATTCACTAATTAGTTGGCAGCGAGAAGTCTTTGAAGAAAGAATATTTTTTCAACTGTTTGGATCAAAAAATCATTTTGATTTACAATTTGGAAAGTTACTATTTGAAATAGTAAGTATCTTCGAAATATCGATATACTGTTAATTTTAATAAATTTATTTTCGGATAGTTGCGATATACCAAGCCCACATATGGTTCTCTCCTGCAGCAAATATCTGGTGGTCAGAATAAGAATGCAGACGAATCTCGAAGTTTTTTGACAGTTGAACAACGACGATCTATGCACAATCATAAGATTAGAACACTTACAGATATTGGACGCATAGGAAAAAAAGAGATGAAGACTCTAGTTGAACAACTACAAAATGTTATTAATGATATTGATAATACAGGAAGTGAATCAAACGACCAAGCCGAGTCAAACAATGATAATCACATAAGATATCAGAATGCTACAGGTCAGTTACTTGTTTGAATTATTTTTCGCGAGGAAAAAATGAGCCATTATGCTAGTCTAAACAGAAAGCTTTCAGATGTATTATCTCAATGGATACCAGCGGTCTTTGATGGTCTTCTTTCTTCTAAAGCATGTTCTTTTTTAACAGATATTCTGAGCTGGATAAAACGCTGGTTGAAAAAACCTACAAACATGACGAAGCAAAATTTACCACCGTTTTCAGCCAGTGGTGACATCAATGATGCGATATTTCCAATGCCGGAATATATTCTTTTGCAACATCGAGATTTACATACGAAATCATTGTCATTTATGCCGTCAACTTCAGTCAATCTTCGAAATATCTTTGAATATGATATTATCAAACGGCCAATTGAACGAACGTTAAAACGGGTGTCACTAAAAACAATCCCTATAGATGAGGATCGTATCTATCGAATATGCTCACCGAAAGTAGAATACTTTAATGGTTTGTCACAAATATTTTCTGCCGAACGCACGACACCTGATAATGATTCACAAAAAAGAGCGACTTTACCGTTAGTATCATCAAAATCGTTCCCGTGGAAAAAAACTACAATGCATCAGCATCCCGCATCAAATGATTCAAAGCAAATGGCACAGGAACGAATAAATATCATTCAACACAGTAGTAAGAAGTACGCATGTCTTTCTCGGAAACAGTTGGAACCTTACTTCCAAAAATTTGCTGAACGCATGCGCCAAAATGCGACTCAATTTGAACACTTCTGTTTAACGAATGCTACCGTTGTCCGACAACGTAATCAAAAAGATTGGTAACATAAGTATTGGCTTGCTTTCAAATCATTCTTAACTCCTGAATTCATAAGGTACTTTTCTTTAAATAAGGGTGTGGGTTTCGATCTTTTCATTCACGACATCGTACACCCATATCCCATAAAAAATCAATTAAAGAAATGTAGAGTTTAATTTGCCGACGCATTTCGTAGTATTTATTAAAATTTTAAAATACTCATCAGGGCTCTGCAATACAATTATTTTTAAAGCACAAAGAAAATACAAAGTTCAAAAAACGAATATTAGAAATTCAAAACATTCGAAAATAAAGAAGAAAGAAAAAATGTTTTATTTTTTAATACGAAGTCAAAAATAACGTTATAGATGCAGAATTTGTTTGTAATATTGATATAGATCATTAACGTGTGTATGAATTGCTTAATCTCAAACAACGCTGTGCTTACATTTATTAAAAAACATTTTCAACTATACCATAAGCTTATGTATCAATTATAATATAAAGATCAATAACTGATTGCACCTTTTTATTTAAATGAATGTGTTCAGTTTCCTAAAAATTTATCAGCATACGGATGTTCCAAAGATTATGAAACTTTGTTGGTAATGTTCTCATATTTAAACAATAAGTGAAATGAGTGAACATTGTCTTGTATTGGCACATGAATAATCTTTTCGCGTATCGAGCTATAATTCCCTCTACTGAAAGGAGGGTATTACGAAAAACGAGTTAAATGCGTTCGTTCGTAAGTTCGTAAGTTCGTAAGTTCGTAAGTTCGTTCGTCCAATAGGAAAGCAGATGCATAAACTTCACAAACCTCAAACAATATCTGTAGAGACAGGTTTCACCGAAGGTAATCGGGGTCGGGGAACACGATGGCGTTGTCAGATTTTTGAAATTTTGCTTTTTCCTTTTTTTAAGAGAGAGAGAGACTT